AAAAAAATTTTTTTCTTACAGTTCAGTCCTTCAGCTACAAAAGTGCAATTGGTGAAAATTTTGTAGCTCTTAAAGATTCGGACCTATGGATTTATGAAAATGAGTCTCCAAGCCAAAAAACTTGCCATTCTCAAATGTTCGATCACTTGTATTATCGAAAATATGCAAATAAAAAAAAATTCCTCGGACACGTATCTCTTTTTTTTCGACATAGAATCCGTAAAAAAAGTTTCAGTCAAATCGAAGAGGTGTCGATCAGACAGGTGTTCGATTTGTAAAAGAATTACCCATATTAGAAAAAATTAGAAAAAAATAGTTATATAAAAATTTTATCTCTGGAGGCAACAAATTTAATAATTATCTATATTTTACTGTACGCTTTTATTTTCTTTTATTACAACAGCACAATACACACATGTGAGAAAATCTTTTTTTATTTACATCGAACATTATCTTTTATTTTTTATTATGTTTAAGGTTTGAATGTCAGCACTGAAAAGATAACTATTTTTTTTATTATAATTAATTGTAATTATGTATAAATTCTCGAATCGTGCAATTTTCAATGTAGACAATCAAACTTTTTCTACTTTTAAGATAATTTTAAGTTTTGTTTTATTATTGAATAATTATATTATAAATAATTATATTATAAAATAATTTAGATCTTTGAGATTTTGATCAAGTTTAGTTATTATATTAAGTTTATTCGTACATTAAATTTACAAAAAATATGAGTACGAATACATTTATAATTGACAATTCAATAAAGTTTACAGAGCTCACAAATGAGCTATGCTTTGTTTAATCTGTTATCGTTATTTTATTTTTAATAATTTATTTTTAATAAAATAACGATAACAGTATATTTTATTTTTATTTCAACCTGAGAGACTTTTTCAAATACATAAAATAAAAAATATTTTAAAGTAATTGAACGATATTATAAAATATTGCTGCTTCTGTAACAAAAGATAAATAATAGTATATTAACATAATATAAAACAAAAATATTAAATGTCACTCAGGATAGAATAAAAATAAGTTAATAGAATTAAATTATGTACGACAGGGATTATCCGGGTGGGCCAGGGAATATGATGGGTGGGCCTGGGTGGGTAAATCAGGGAGCTTCAATGGCCTACGGAGTGAGGGACGGTCCTCCTGGTAATGATATGCATCCATTTGACAGGCCAATGAGCACTGGACCTAGCTACAGCACAGGGGCACCTAGTTACAGCACTGGTCCAGGACCACAAGCTGATATGTTTAGTAGAAGACCTGGCAGTGCCGTGCCCAGTGGCGGATATCCACCAGTTGCTAGCGGGTGAGTTGCAAATCGTAACAAAACATTCTTTTAAAACAGGCCTATTCAACATTCAACTTGTGAGTTAAATGCTCCCATTTCTCCATTGTCTCGTTGAGTGAAACAGAAAAAACAAAACTATTTTAACCAGTTCTGCTTAGTGACTAGCGTCTGTTCTTTTTTTTGTTTTCTTTTTCTCTCAATGCGGTAGAGAGGTGGAAACGTTTAGTTCGCGGCTAAAATTTTGGATAGATCTGCTCCTGAAGAATCTTATTTTTTTTTTCTTTCTATATGGATAACGGCATTTTATGTTGCAGCTATGCCGAGGGATATGACAGACCCGATGCGTATGGTCCTCCACGTGGCGGCGGACGGTAAGTTGCACTTTAACTATCTTATATATAATATTTATCTGTCTCATTGACAAAACTGCGGTTATGAAAAGTAACACACGTTTGAAAAGCGAAGAGAATCTATATGCGTACGCTTGTCAGTTGGCGTCTTTACTCTTCTTTGCGCTATATACGCCACCCTCGTTCTTGCCTCGATTATATGTAATACATATGCAATTTCTATATATGCGGATTCGATGCAGGTTGAATATTTCTGTAAAAGTATAAGGTGTGACACTTAGCGCGACACTCGACCATGTACGGAAGCGTTTACGTTCGCCGTGTACGGTGCCGTTTTGCGTATACGAAATCATTGCTTTTATTGGTAAATTTACTGGAAGCCGACGTTTCTATCTTATGAGTGTAAAAGAGAACAGAGGCTGAAAATCACATGACTGCCATCTAAGATCCGCAGATCTAATGACCATACGTGATATAAATTAATGACTGCATTTTACATATATATTTATAATTTTTATATATTATACAGAAATTTTTTCAAATATTTGACATATATTTTATATAATTAAGTTCATTTCAATTAGTTGCAATAACGTAGTTTTGGTATTTATATGATAAATATAAAGGTAAAAGAAAAATTATTTGAAAAAAATTTAAATTTTTATGAATAAATTTGGAATCTTTTGTAGATTAAATAATGTCTTTTACTCCGTGAAAAATTATGTAGTGTACATCCATTGGAGGACTTATTGCCACGACATCAGTATATTTGTGATATATCACCTCTCTTCTTTTACGTACTCCGCAATGAAGGTTCTCGAGCACGTCCGTTCACGATGCGCTATGCGATCAGCCTGCGGCAATTCCGTAATGGCGAGATGCGCTCGGAAAGACAGAAACTTCTCCCGTAAACACGAGAAAAAAAATATCTCCGGTTACGTGGCTGACTTTTGCGAGCAATTCCGCAGCGCAAAAGATGAGTTCCGCGTAAATTTCTGCGGTCCGTAGAGACACATCTCGAAGAAGACGGAATCTCCGACCTTGCACATCTACCGCACGTTTATCGCGAATACAAACTGACCACCGCGAACACTGCGCCTCTGCGCATCGCAAAATTGCAGTCTGCGAAACTACAAACGCACGTTTTTCGCATTTGCTGTTCCCTGTTCTCTAAGAACTTTCTGAAACACTTTCCCAATTCAATGTCGGTGTTTCGAGAAACGAGAAAAACAAAAAAATACCAATTGTAACCATTGCGCCTACGGCGAACATCCGACAAAAGATTTTTCGACATCGTGAGACTTGAGACTCTTCTGTTCTGCACGGAGTTTGAGTCAATTTCCAAATGCACTTGCGGCGATGCACGGAGAGATGATGCATAATTGCGGCGTGTCGACCAGCTTCTGACATGTATGACAGTTAATCAGAACTGAGTGTGAACTTTGCTCTCATCGATGGTTAAGCGTTACGAATTTATATTTACATCGTTCCATGTTCACATAAATTGGATTGTTCCTTAAAATGCTTATATATAATACTTTGCCATAATGTGCTGTAAAAATTTGTATTCATTATTTACAAGCAATGAAGTTCCAATTTTATCACTAAAAAAAATTTAGTAGAGCAACTTATGAATAAATTCCAAAAAATATATGAGGTGACTAAATTTAATAATTAGATAATGGAACGATAAGAACACCCAGATCTGGTAGCTGTGTTTTACAATAAATCTGCGTTATATGCGCTGCGACGTGGAACCAAAAAAAAAAAAGAAAGAAAGAAAGAAACATTCGCAAGGCTTCCTTAACACTATACGACTATATCATGCCGTTGGAATTATCATAATTTCGATTCCGTATCACAGAATGTGTCCCGTGATGATCGCGCACGCCAGTGTTACATCTTATACTTTCTTGCTCCTTGCATATAGCAAGGCGATCACGTAATTAATTCTGCGATTTTTCATTTTTTGACCTTTTAGCTTCCCAGGTCCGGCAGACGCGATGCCACCGAGGTACTAAACATGTACTAAACGCACTAGCGCATGCGAAAGGCGACCGAAAAAAAACAAAAACCGTAAAAAAAAAGATCAGCCTTTTAGCAGCGATCACTCGCTTATCGGACTCGATTACCTAGGAATTGCCGTCTGCGTTCGTCGTTGAGTCCACGATAATTATAATGAAAACTATATAAAACTTACAATAGAACGTAACGTTTAGTTGTATCGTAAAGTACGGTAAGAATAAGAAAGATATCAATAGAGAATATATAAACAATTATTTGAATTTAAGCTCAATTTTTTTCAAATACATCATTAATGAGTTCATATAAAAATTGATCAATTAATCAATTTATTATTGATAAACCTGCTATGTTAGCCTATTGTATGTTTAAAGAAAATTTTCGACATTACATTATTCATGGAGTTTATGTTCGTAATTTTTTTCCTCGCTCCCTTTTTTATAAATAGATAAATTCCGGTATTATCTAAGTGTGAGTTTAACATTTTGCTCGATTTAATGCTCTAACTGCCTACAATGTAGCGTATATATGATTTTGTTATATCCTATAGTGCTTAGTATTAATTCTACAAAAGGTGACTTATGCCACAATAATAATGCTGTATAATCGTTTTTTACACATAAGAACTTGAATAATATTTTTGAATGTTCATTCATAAAGCAGGGAATAGCAGTTATCACAATGTATCTTTATATAAAACCAATAAAGTGCAAATGTGAATGCTCTAAAGCAATCTTTATAAAAGAAAAAATTTTCTAATAATATAATATAATTCATCTTCTTGCAGTCTTTCTGTGCATAGAAAAATTATATCATTAAATTTAATTATTTACCAATTGTAACGTGTGCTATTATATTAAATACAATTAAAACATTATTTCATTAAAGATCTATCATCTATTTTCAATATCATTCATGTAAGGAAATATTAGTCATTTTTACCTAAAGATATTTCATCTTTATTTTTCTCTGTCTATTTTTTTATATTGTTTTATACTATTTTTTATTATCAATATTAAAGTATGCAATCTTTACGTGACTCAGTTACTCCATAGAAGAAACCATCAACTTATGCAGTAACATCGGAGTAGAATACTAGTTGTCCATCTAATACATCAACTTGTGTCATTCGTAGCAGCGAGCAGAGCAAGCCAAAAGCATAGATTATTAATAATCAGCGTGCGTGCAACTATACTTTTTAATATTCTTAATTCGATGACGTTATGCATTGTAATCTTGAATTCTAAGACAGTCTAACAATAACATGTAATTATTATCTCTTTCTACATTAATAGTAATAATATTGGTAAATGTAAGAATGTTCATCTAAGTGTCTCAAAAAATTGATCGAACATAAAAGATTCAATGACAATGCAGAACGCCAAGTCAATCTCCAGCTGGTGCAGTTTACTTAGTTAGGCCTGTACTGTGAGAAACGCCGGTTTGTGAATAACCGTGCAATGAACGCGATTGTCAAACACGTTACCCTGGTGGCGGCGGCTTGTCGACCTGCGATTATTGAAGAAACCGATTACGACGATTATTCGCTATGCGTGGCTACCCGTAGATGCGGCGATCAGCGAATAAAGCAACCTGCGATATGTGGATAATGCGCCACAAATTGCGTTTGCGCTCAAAGCTTGGCGTGCTTTGAATTTAACCAGGAAAAGGTATGTTTAACGCGTGCGAACCTTTATACTTTATCTATTGAGACAAACCCAGAGCGCCTATCTCTCAAGGGGGGAAAGGAATTCTATATTCACTATTTATATCAGTGTTTTTCACCTAAGTGCGAATGGAGAATGTCCGGTCGAACAAAACATAAAGCTGTATTAGACGAAAGAAAAGAAAAAAAAACCGTCGATTATCGAAGCGCGTGTAAAGAAAGCGGCCGATTTTCTTCTCGATGATCTCTCGTCGTGTTGCGCATTGCGACAAAAAGCGCATTGATTCTAATTCCATCTCTGTCACTTGTACACACATAAAGCGATTCTTGCTAAGATGCAACTAATACAACTATCCATTCAGATCTCTGTCAAAACGAATCTACATTTATTCAATTCTTTTGCTTGAATGCTTCTTACTTTTCCTGTCTTTTCTTTTATCTAATTATTAGGGAATTAGTTAAAGAAACGTATTGTTTATCTCTTTTATAGATCTATCTGGTTCACACAAACGATATTTTTATATAAAATTAATAAATTTATAATTAAAATTTTGTAATTAATAAATTATAAAATTTTGCATTACGAGATTAATATTAGTTTGTATTAAATATCAAATTGTACATTTAATATTAAATGATGTCAGATATATTCGACAACTCAAGAAATGAAATATTATTGTAATCTAATCTTTTTAATTGAGAATAGATTCCAGATTGGAAATAGATTGATATATTGCATCTCTCGATGTCAAAATCTCACGGGTCCCTCTAAATTAACGTGTTTGTATCGATGCTTTATGAGATGGAATTAGAGCGCAAGGTAAAAACGAATGCGATGCGTGAATTGAAAAGAATGCTGGTTTCTTGCTAACTTTTGCCACCGCAATTTGCGAATTGTTTGTTTGAATATCGTTACCACCGCCGAATCTCGTTCCGCAGATTAAATTTAAAAATTTTGCTCGTATCTCGCGATGAAACTAAGCGCCACGTTGTAATACACGCCGTTATGTCCTCGGAATAACTTGATGTTGATGGAAGAACGTCGTAAAAAATTTTCTCAAATTGTCGACCTGTACAGCGCTCCTATTAACTGTTCAATTGAAATGTTATGTCTCTTCTAATACTCCCCCAAAAAAGTGCACTCATTTTATGAAATATTTATCAATATAAAATATATGTGTACTCTTGATTTCACGTCGCGTTCAGACTCAAGTTAATAGAATCATGTAAAGTCAATTGAAAAGAGAGTGAAGTATTATACAGATATTTCACTAATTGCTAATAATTTATCAGCATCGATTTTATCTGGCGTTCATACAAAAATATGATAAGCTAGTTTCATTATTTACCCACAATTCAGTGGGATATTTCATGTACGTTTCCATATAATAAGATAATTTTTTTAATAGATTACAAACGGGATGAAGACAAATGACTGATGGACATTGAGATGAACTCAATGGGAACTGCTAATAATCCTCAGAAGCATTCACTGTCAATGAACTCGTTTGCTCGTCTGGGGGACGAGAGTTAGATGTGTGGAAGATGGATAATTATGCCTGGATGCTTGTAACAAGAAGAAAGCACATAGGAATAAAGTATGGAATTACTATCAATTACATACATTTTCTTTATGCAATATATAAATGCTTTGTTAGCTAACTACAATACGATAAGGTAATTCATTTTTTTAAAGATAATAAAATTTTTTAGCAATATTTAAGTTTTTTTATCTTTAATCCTATCCTTAATCTTGTCAAGTGTAATAAAAATATTTACTTAACTAGTTATCAATTAGTCTCATAACTAATAGTTATTATATTATATCTGTCTATAAAAAAAATATGTACATATGACAAAGGAAGATAGAAAATTGAGTCTGAATATTTTAATATGATTTTTATTAAAATGGAAAAATATAAATATATGCATTTTAAAACGAACATCATTAAGTATATATAATATGCAAAATTTATTTTTTCTATCCCATCACCTCTAAAGCTAGCGCCAGATTATATGCGATTGAAAATTGTGTGTGGCATTAGTTTTAGGGTTAAACTAGGGCTGATTATATATGGTATATTATAGTAGTAATAATACTAATAAAGTAAATTTATAAAACGAGTAAAGCTATGTGTCTACAATATATGCTCGAACAATATGGCACAATAAGATAATCTAATTCTTTTTTAATGATTAACTCTTCAATTTTTGCTAATGTGTTTGATGAGATATCTGTAGTATAATTTTTCATATGTTTTTCTTTTTTATATTGGAATCTAAATAATATATGCAGATACGATTTATAGCCAATTTGATTTTTTACACTATTTTGTATAAGCTGGCTCTACTACGTATAAAATCATTTAGTGATAAAAATATAATATGAATACTTTAATCAATAAACTATCCAATATAGATATTATTCACATTTTTAGCTGATTGTATACTGAATATTTTATCAGTGAAAGTATTTACACTTTGCTATTTTTATTTATAACAGTCTTTGTAGTATTGAAACAATATATATCAAATAGGATTCTTCAAGTGAGAATCATTTTCTCACGTATTTAATTATTAAAAAAAAAAGTTATGAATTATCCTCCAAAAATGATTATTAATTATCGTTATTTCTGAATAAATTTGTATTATAAAAATCATTTTAAAAGGGTGAGTCAGAACTTTTTTTACTACTCAATATAACATCTCAGTATAATATTTGAGTATGATGTTACAATATAAGCTCATGATAAACTGGGTTCTGGTCCAACACCGCCTGCAAGTCTGTACACGAGTGAAGCTACTTCCACAGCTAGTTTGTTAACATCCGACGAACTCTCACATTCTGCATAAACGCGAACGATATCTTCAGTTCCAGAAGGTCTGAAAAGAAAGTCAGTTAATCTATTGTGGTAATTTTTATGTTTAAGATTTTTCAATAAGCTTCTGATGAATGAAACTACTTCAAAAGCCTCTCTAAAAGTTTTGTATATCAAAACACGAAGACATGCTATACCTAACGAAAGATCGACCTCTTGAATATTTCAAGACGATCTTGTCAATCTCTTCTTGTAAGCAAACAGGAGTCAGACAATGTCTTTCTGCATTTGTTGTTGTTATAATATTTCTATCCTTCACTCTAACTTTGAGCTGCTTATTCGGAAGATCGTTGTAACTTTTTTCCCACTCGATAACATCCCAGCCCTTGGCGTGTAATATAGTTTCGACCAGTAACATATCGCTCAACGCATCGCCTACCGTTTCGTTTATTAAATCGGTTACATCCCTCAGCTTTGAAGAGGCCACCCTTTGTATCGTTGAAAGCATTTCGTTCTTAGCATGGTTCTTGATAGCTTCTTTAGCAGTACCTTTGAAGATTACGGTTCCATGTCCGTTTGCCTCGAAATAGACTCCAATGTCAAATTCCAGCGCTTTCTTGTGCAGATGCTTCACACCAGTTGGCACACACGCTACTGGAACTTTCAAGACGTTCGAAATATAATCGGTTGAACCACCGTTGGCATATGCGGTTTGCACCAAGCCTAATTGTAAGGATAAACCACTCGTTTCCAATAATTCCTTGAAGTAAGCAGCTAC